AAAATTTTTTGGAACTTCTTCTGTAGGTGTGGCTTGCTTTCCGGTTCGGTAGATTTGACGAACCGGTTCTACCGAACTGGTGCAAACTGGTAGGAACCAACCTCTGGTAAGTACATACAATTCCTGTCACCATGTCATGTAAAAACATGACAGCCCTTCCTAAATGAATGTATGTGCTGTGACTATGATAGAAAATGGTGTCCCTTGCTTGGGTCCGTAAAAGATTTCTGCCTTCAAAAAACCCAACTTTTCCAGCTCTATAGTAGTGGCAACTTTCAGCTGTGCTATATGAAGTGTGTTAGTACTGCAGTGGAGTAGGAAACTGGAAAGCCATGAGACATTCAGAGTCCTTGTCCACAAAAAATTATGGCCTGTAGGGGAATTTTGCCCCATTTTTCTCATCGGCCATTAAATCATTAAGTCAACTAGCTTATGGAGAGAAGATTGCCATTTTCCCTTTATTAATTGGATCAGGGACAAGTGATCTCAAGCAAGATTAGTTAGAAGGAGAAATAAGGGTTCTTTTCCCTGAACTAGTTACAAATCAGTAGTTTTTCACAGTTTCTTGCCAAGGAAGTTTTATGATGGTGGTGGTAGATTATTACTATTTTTTTTTCTCTTTCACTTTCCTCCAAATAATCTGTTAATAAAATATGCTGTATGTATAAGAATGGGAAAATACATACAAATAGTTTCACTTTCCTCCAAATAATCTGTTAAGAAAATATGCCGTAGGTATAAGAATGGGAAAGTACATACAAATAGTTTTGACTTATGACTACAACTGGATACCAAAATTTCCATTGCTAAGCAAGACGGTTGTTAAGTGAGTCATGGCTGATTGTGTGGTCATTATGCAAATCCAACTTCCTCCATTGACTTTGCTTGTGAGAAATTGGCTGGGAAAGTCACAAATGGAGACTACGGACCCTGCAACCATTGTAAATACATGCCAGCTGCCAAACACCCAAATTTTGATCATGTGACCATGGGGGCATACAATGCGAGGACTTGTTGTAATTTTTTTCAGTGCCATTGTAACTTTGAACAATCTCTAAATCAGTGATGGCAAACCTTTTCGGCACTGAGTGCCCAAACTGGAAAACATGTGAGCCAGAGTCCCGAAAACTCAAAGACCAGCTGGCTGGTGCGCATGCGCACACCGGCCAGATGTTCTTCACATACGCCAGAGCCCTGGAAACCTGAAGACTGGTGTTCAGGTTTCCGGGGCTCTGGCATGCACGAAGATCAGCTGATGTGCCGGAAATCAGAAGACCATCTGGTGACGGTGTGTATGCCCACAGAAAGGGCTCTGCATGCCACCTCTGGCACATGTGCCATAGGTTCATCATCATGGCCCTAATTAAATGACTATGTTGAGGAGTAAAATAGTTGCCAGCTTTTGATTTACATTTTGCTAAATTTCAGTGTTCCAGAATTTAGCAGAAGGAAATGAAAAACAAAACAAAAAAACACCACTAAATAGATATTTGTCTGCAAATAAATATAGTTAAATAAGAAGACATTTGAGTAATAATATTTATTTGTATTGAAGTTAAAACTAAGTGCAAAAAGTCTGAAACTTCAGAAATCTACAATTATGAAAATAATGTGTAGAGGGTTCAAAATATGTTCAGAATAGCAATGTGAAATGCACAGAATTTGATTGGAATATGGCTAAGAATAATTCCGGGGGAAAAAACCCTAGTGATTTTCAAATGAGTGATGCAGCTAGCTCTTTAATCAAAATATACTTTCATCTGAAGATTAATCACATTAATTTGCAACATGAGTTCTGCATTTACAGATAGTTGATATAACTCTTTATGTTTGTCAAGTCTCTAGGAAAATCCTTTCAAATCTGATTATATTCTTTCCTTTCATTTTGTCACTGAGCCAGGATTCAATTGACAGCCATTTTCAATAGACCTGCCTACAATGTCTTGTACATTAACATGTTTACAAGTGTGGCTAGCAATTCAATTAACTGAACAGGGCTCAAAAATGAGTTTTTTAAAATAAACCCTTTTATCATATGTAATATGAAATTCATGAACAGCTGTTTTGCTTTTCAGGTGCAGTGAAATATATACTGGATACAATTCAGTTACCTATGGCTAAATGTTATTATCCATAGCAGATTAAAAGGATTAGTGTGATTAATTGTGAAAGTAACAAAAAACGTTTTCTAAGACTTGTAGGAATTGGTACGGTAGGAGTCCATGTGGATTTTGCTCTGCTGGTCATTGCCAACTCTGGGGGGCAGTGTTCATCTCTGTTTCAAGGCCATTGAGTGAGCGCTGTCTGAACACATTTCCATAGTCATGTTGCTTGCATGACATCACAGAGCACTGTTACATTCCCACCGAAGTGGTACCTATTCATCTACTCACATTTGCATGCTTCAAACTGCTAGGTTGGCAGAAGCTGGGATAAAGATGGGAGCTCACCCCATCGCATGGCACCCAGGTCTTGAACCTGGGCTGCCAGTTTTTCCAGATGACAAGCCCAGTGTCTTATCCACCGAGCCACTGTATCTTCCCTGTAGGAATTGGTAGAACATTAGAAATAGAATGCAAACAACAGAAAGTACTGCTAATACTCCTCAGTGTATTTGAGAGGGACCTATGTTTTCTAGTTTGAATGATAAATGCAAACTTGGGGACTGGTGATATTATCATCTTGATGGTCATCTATATTTACCAAGTAGTTTGATTATATCACCAACATACTCAATGAAATGTCTATATGAGCAGTTAACAGGTAAGAGCCTTTTTGGTGAAGTTGTTAAGGTACCATTTAGAGACCATGAGTGCTAGTCCCACCTTAAGCATGAAGCCAACTGAATGACTTTGGATCAGTCATTCTCTTCATTCAATCATTCTCCTTCCTAGGAAGGAGGCAATGGCAAACCACTTCTGAAACTGTTGCTGCACAGACTTGCATGCTGGAGTTAAAACTGACTTGAAAGTACCAAAAATAAAAAGAATTAGAAAGTCCTGGCACCTGGCAAATTAACAGCTGATGTTTTTTTCCTGAAACAAAGCAACAAGGTGTCACTATTAATATATTAACATTCTATAAAGTAGGGCAGGTAAAATAGTAGAGCAATTTTCAATGGGCTGAAACTTAGAATGCTGTCAAAAATGTTTCTCCACATTGTCTTAATATTCAAAACATTCTTTCGGTATGTTGATATTTCACATTTACATTATATTTTTGAATACCTGAGTGTTTAATATTAACATATTTGGCAGTAGATGAATTTGGATTTCATTGTTCCTCAAACACTGATGTATGACAATACTTGATCGATGTGACACTGTGTTTGCGGTACTAACAACTATTTTAGCTGCATTCTTGTACCAATGTTTGTAATTTTGCTTACGAGGATGGATTCCCTTTTAATACTTCCACTGTGTAATTTTAGAATTATATGTTAGGATTTTAAAAATATTGTTATGTACTGGTATTAATATATGTTTTTGCTAGAATGTAGAATTATTATTATTGGTTAGTGCCTCTCAGAACCTACCTAGAGCAGCAGATTTGTTTTCAGGTCCCCACAATTCATCTTTAGCAATATAACAAAAAATAACATTTCTGCATTTTAAAGGATAAGTTAAGAGGGATTGTCTGAATTTTTGTTCTTTAACTGAAAGTGTACACACAACTAATAACTGTGAACTATATAACAATGTGTCATTTTTTTTGTTTTCTTCTTATATGTTAATTACAATTAAGCACACTCATCGAGAAAACCTCTGAAGATGTTTTGGCCTGATTGGAGGGTTGACCTATTTCTTTTTTTTCTTTTATTTACAAACATGTAAAATCACATACACAAAACCTAGATGTACACCACATTTACACAATACAATATGAACAGGAGCTTCCTGTTCTTTCTAATAGTAATTGCCAATCGATATCGTTCACCTTATATTGTTTCCCCTTCTATTATATTTCATTTGTATTTCACCATTTTTAACCCTATGTTGGCTGATTACTAGAGGTAATCAGCCAATATAGCAGACAGAGGAGTAAGATAAGGAGGGTTGACCTATTTCAGACACTTAAAAAAGATCAGTGGTGCAATAGTGAAATGTTTCCTTTCTAGACACCATGAACTTTCATCCTGTCCTTTTATGGACATCCTGGGCGCAAAACTATATATAACCTTTTAAACTTTGTGTGGTTGCAAGCTCTTGAGGGAAAATGCATTTTCTATATTGTTATATCTGCAAGGTACAGATATCTGTTTGAAAGTGTCTAATCTGACACGCGGACAATATTGCCAAGTGCTGTTCTTCAAGTACATAATTGTAAACTTATCTGGCCTCCCCTAAGACCATCATATTATTGTTTGGGAATAGGTACCGTTCCATCCTCCCTCTTCCTCTTCCTCTATAATTAGGTAGACCCAGTTCACTCTACTTGGATATATTAAGTATTTCACACATCTTGTATGCCCTCCTTCCCCCAGACTTTACATGAAGTAGATCCTTCCCCTAATGTAACAAGTTGCAAACTGGTTTTGAAACTTCATAGTATTGTAAAAATGATTTGCAATGATGAAAGGAAAGAATGCTCTAGTTCCTTGTATGGAAAAAGCCTTTTTTCATGGAGACTGAGCGGTTCAATTTCTGGATGCTGCTATTAGTTGTAGAGCTGGGTGATGCCCTCTTTCTCATTAAAAGAAGTATAAAATGATAGGCATAAAAAACCTGACTGGAAAAGTTTGCATTTCTTCTGATACTCCTAGGAAAAATCTTACTGGCTATCTTTCCCCAGGGTCAAAACCTTTAAAACTAAGTAAAAATGATTTTTTTTTTGGTTACACAGATTCTTCCTCTGAGCACACGATCCATAAGTTAAACTCTGTGGAAATGTTTTACTTAATTCTTGCAGATGCCACTTCTTACATATTAAGCTCTGCATTCATTCCCAAGACAAACAGATGGTCAGCAAAACCAATTAACCTTTCTCCCTCTGTCTTTCAGACTCACAGCGTCTTCAAAGCCCACAGACAAATGAGCAGATACTATCAGGAGATTTCATGTCAAAGCATGATGAATAGGAAAGACTTGGCCGACGTACTTTGAACTTGCTCAAGTGGACCTCCTGGCCATAAATGTGGAACACCTGAAGGTGAGGTCTTATAATTTGACAGAAACAGGTAACCAGGAAAAAAAAGCACTGGAACAAATGATTAATGTTTGCGTTTTCCCCATCTTCATCCCAAGAGAGAATATTTGATAGACTTATTTATTTTAACGAAGACATGCCCAAAGAGGAGAGACTATTGCTTCTCAGAACAATAAGATAAAAATAAACTGTAGCTACACATTTACAGGAGAGGGTTGATGAAATAATTTTTAAATGCTCTTTTTTACTTGAATTTTTGGGGAATGTATGAATATTTATGTTATGCTACCAAGCGGGCACCAAATTCATCTACTTGCTTTCGTTTTCCACCATTGATGTACTTGTATAATTTTGTATAACAACTCCACATCCCCAGATCAAAGTCTTTGGAGAGTAGCTCAATTTTCCCCAACTTCACCCTTGATTCTTACATTGTCACCATTCACTGGAGTATATCATGGAACTGTCACTGATATAGAGATTCCTGCTCTTATTTACACCTTTCACACCTTTACATTTATTTACACATTTACACCACAATATTCTAATTAGGAGTTCCCAAATGTGACAACTTTAAGATGCATGGACGTCAACTCCCAGAATTTCCCATGCTAGCTAAGGAATTCTGGGAATTGAAGTTACTCATCTCAGAGTTGCCAAGATGGGAGACACCTGTACTAGATTATACCAGTTCATGTGTTCTGAGAAAGATCTTAACTCTTTTAGTATAACTTAACTCTACTTCCCTTCATGTATGTATCCATTCCATTCCACAAGACAAGACAAGACCATCTTCATTCCAATCTCTTACAGCCTTCTCTTTTATTTTATTGTCACACAAGTTATCTTTTCTTTTACTTATTAATTCATGCTTTTTACCCTTCTAACATTTCAAATTGCAATTTACAGCTTGTAACTAAGTTGCCCATGGTTGGTACTGGAAAAGTCTATGAATGAATTCTGTTAGCAAGATATACTAATAAAATGCATAATAACCAGTTCTGCCATCTCCATTGTCCCTACTAAGCCATGAGCTGCCAAATGGCTTATTGGCATGACAGGTGTCATGGCTGAGCTCTGCTGTCAATTGGCTTGTCAAATTCTGTAAAATTTAACAATTGGGCCTTACAAGTCAGTATGTGCTGGCTCCAGAACACTACTGCCTACCACTCATCAGGACTTTGACCAACTGAACAATGATCAAACAAGCATAGGAAAAATGTGCTGGAATAATATTGCCCTTTAACCTGCAGTGATGGTCAAGGACGAGGACCAGGTTGAAGAGAAAGTTATTTTTTCAGAAATCACAGGTGTCTTCTCTTCTCCTCTTTTCTTCCATCTTTTTCCTTTCCTTTCCTTTCCTTTTCTTTCCTTTCCTTTCCTTTTTTATTTTCCTTTTCTTTCTTTTTTATTTTTCTTGGCTATTATTATCATTGCTGTTAGCACAATGCAGAGTCATATGCAAAAATGAGGTGTTGTATAATCATAGCATGTAGATGGCATAAATGAGAATATTTGGGGAAAGTATTGGCTTTAGTTTTCTTGTGGTTATGCAATAGTCTAAGACAATAATACCTCAATATTAGAATATTAGGAAAATATTCTACAGTAGACTTTTAGCTCTGGGTAAATGCGAATGTAAGAATATTTTCCATGGGGATACTAGCAAGAATGGGAATAAGTATTCCTTACCATACTCTTTTTTTTTTCTAAATAAAACCCTCTGGAATTCTTAATAAATGCATTCTACAATAGCAATAGCAATAGCAATAGCAATAGCAGTAGACTTATATACCGCTTCATAGGGCTTTCAGCCTTCTCTAAACGGTTTATAGAGAGTCAGCATATTGCCCCCAACAATCTGGGTCCTCATTTTACCCACCTCGGAAGGATGGAAGGCTGAGTCAACCCTGAGCCGGT